TCAAGTTTTATTTTTCGATTTTTCAATTTTTTGTTTCTTCAATTCTAATTTTTGAACGTTCGAATTGTTCGTTTCTTTAATTTTTACAAGTTTCCGAGTTTTCAATTTTAAATTAATCAGTTTACGAATTTTTCATTTATTAAATTTTTGTTTTAATTTTTCATTTGTAATTTTTCATCTTACAATCTTTTGATATTACAGTTTTTCACTTTTTCGATTTTTTCTATTTTTCAACTTAAAGATGATTCAATTTTTCGATGTTTCAGTTTCTCGACTTTTAATTTTTCCATTTTTGCTTGTTAAATTTTTCGCTTTTTCAATTTTTGAATTTTGCACATATTCAGTTTTTAATTTTTCGATTTTCCGATTTTTTGTTTAAATTTTTCGATTTTGACAGTTTTCAATAACAAATTATTCAACTTTTGTATTTTTCAATCTTACAATTTTGCAATTTTACAGTTCTTCCCTTTTTCGATTTTTTCAATTTTTCGACTTTTGATTTTTAAATTTTCCATCAGTGTTTCAGTTTCTCGACTTTTAATTTTTTGGTTGTAGCGTTGTAAATTCTTGGCCCCTTCAATTTTTCGACTTTTCAGTTTCTCAAGTTTTAATTTCTCGATTTTTCAATTTTTTGTTTCTTCAATTCTAATTTTTGAACTGTACAGTTTTTCTTTTCTTTCATTTTTAGATTTTCACAAGTTTTCGATTTCCAATTTTTCGAGTTTTCAATTATAAATTTTTCAATTTTTGACTTTCCGTTATTCAATTTTTGTTTCGATTTGTCAATCTTCGAATTTTTCGATTTAACGAATTTTCTTTTTATAATCTATGAATTTTTAAATTTTTAAATTTTAAAGCAGGAATTTTGAACATCTCTAGTGTTTAGTTGGCTATGCTTTAATGGAGTTTTCTTTTGTTGTTTTTCTTTATAATTTATAAATCTCTTATATATTATTTTTTTTTGGTTTATTTATTAATAATAATGCTTTGGAGCCTCTAGTGTCTTTTCTTATAATAATTTAATTCCATTTTCTAGAAGATACGTCATCTGCCAAAATCAGTCTTATCTTAGTAGCTACTAGCCCCGCCCACCCACCCTCTCTTTTTATCTTAGCAAGTACTTTACAAAAAAATATCAAAATTTGGAAGCATTACGAGCTTACTTATATACACTCAACTTTTGGTTTTTCAATTTTTCAGTGTTTCAGTTTCTCGACTTTTAATATTTCGGTTTTAGCTTTCTAAATTTTTCGATTTTTCAGTTACTTAAGTTTTATTTTTCGATTTTTCAATTTTTTGTTTCTTCAATTCTAATTTTTAAACGTTCGAATTGTTCGTTTCTTTAATTTTTACAAGTTTCCGAGTTTTCAATTTTAAATTAATCAGTTTACGAATTTTTCAATTATTAAATTTTTGTTTTAATTTTTCATTTGTAATTTTTCATCTTACAATTTTTTGATATTACAGTTTTTCACTTTTTCGATTTTTTCAATTTTTCAACTTAAAAATTATTCAATTTTTCGATGTTTCAGTTTCTCGACTTTTAATTTTTCCATTTTTGCTTGTTAAATTGTTTGCTTTTTCAATTTTTGAATTTTGCACATATTCAGTTTTTAATTTTTCCGATTTTTTGTTTAAATTTTTCGATTTTGACAGTTTTCAATAACAAATTATTGAATTTTTGTATTTTTCAATCTTACAATTTTGCAATTTTACAGTTTTTCCCTTTTTCGATTTTTTCAATTTTTCGACTTTTGATTTTTAAATTTTCCATCAGTGTTTCAGTTTCTCGATTTTTAATTTTTTGATTGTAGCGTTGTAAATTCTTGGCCCCTTCAATTTTTCGACTTTTCAGTTTCTCAAGTTTTAATTTCTCGATTTTTCAATTTTTTGTTTCTTCAATTCTAATTTTCGAACTGTACAGTTTTTCTTTTCTTTCATTTTTAGATTTTCACAAGTTTTCGATTTCCAATTTTTCGAGTTTTCAATTATAAATTTTTCAATTTTTGACTTTCCGTTATTCAATTTTTGTTTCGATTTGTCAATCTTCGAATTTTTCGATTTAACGAATTTTCTTTTTATAATCTATGAATTTTTAAATTTTTAAATTTTAAAGCAGGAATTTTGAACATCTCTAGTGTTTAGTTGGCTATGCTTTAATGGATTTTTCTTTTGTTGTTTTTCTTTATAATTTATAAATCTCTTATATATATATTTTTTTTTGGTTTATTTATTAATAATAATGCTTTGGAGCCTCTAGTGTCTTTTCTTATAATAATTTAATTCCATTTTCTAGAAGATACGTCATCTGCCAAAATCAGTCTTATCCTATCTAGTAGCTGCCAAGATAAGACTGATTTTGGCAGATGACATAACCTCTAAAAAAGAGAGGGTGGGTGGGCGGGGTTAGTGCCTGCTAAGATAAAGAGTGACTTTGGCAAATGAGATACCGTGTAAGAAAACAGAGGGTGGGTGGGCGGGGTTTATATTTCCTACATTTTTTTTTAATACACCAAATCTTATTTTCCTAACAAGAAACTAAAAACATAATGTAACTATCGTAACTATAAGTAACTAAAAGAAAGTCTCGATCTCAATGATGATGAATTTTTTATTCGTTGTCAGGCCAAGGGGCGGAGCGTAATTGCAAAATACATATTTCCCTACAAAAATTTTGAACATGTTTTAAGTTTCTTGTTGTGAAAAGAAGACCACGTATATTAAGAAGAAATGACAAAATATAAGCCCCACCCACCCACCCTGCTCAGTTGTAAGGATTTTTTTTATTCGTTGTCAGACCGAGGGGCGGAGTTTAATTGCAAAATTTTACTCTTTCGAGAACATATTTCACATGATAACTTCTTGTAGAGAAATGAGGATTTTGCAACCAAGCTCCGATCTCGGCGCACGATGAACAAAAAAATCATCACAATTGAGAGGGGGTGGGTGGGCGGGGCTTATATTTTATGCATTTTTTCTTAATATACGAAGTCTTCTTTTCCTAACATGAAACTGAAAACATACTTAATTATTGTGTTGTTCACAAAAAAATATACACCTATATTGAGAAGAAAAAAAAAAAAACGAAGATCAAGCACGACCCACCCGTCCCGATCTCAATTCTGATGAAATTTTCATTCGTCATTAGAACCGAGGGAGAGCGTAATTGCAAAATACATATTTTCCTAGAAAAATGTACCGTTTTGAACATGTTTTAAGTTTCTTGTTGTAGAAAGAAGACTACATATATTAAGAAGAAATGGCAAAATATAATTATTATTATTATTATTATCAATTAGAACAGTCCATTAATAACCACGCTAACTAGGTGATAATAAAACTAGTTCGCAGCTCGTTTTCCAAGTCAAATTAATGAAATACGATACAGTCAAGTGATTTGACATTAACTTGTTTATTTTATGAATCGATGGGAATACACAAACGATCCCACTGTACGCCTTTTTGAATAAAGTAGAACGCGAAACTGTAAAAATTAACACTTGTAGAGTGGGCTGGACTCATCGATTTTCCTTCGATAAGAGACAGCGCGCAATTAATTAGCAAATGGCTCCGAATCGGGAAAAAGTGCGTTTTTTTCCGCTAATGAGTCTAATCTCCTTCAAGGTATTTTTTTAAAGCAAGACCTGGGGAATAAATAAAGAAATTAGCAACAGTTTATCTGTTTATCTTTGCGCCAAATCTCGAGCCAGCGACTTTCAACTGAAATAATATTGATTCTAGATTAAGTTGTGTAGAAACGGATTTAGTGAATGGAAGAGAAAAACAACAATTTTAACTCGTGGGTTCAAACCACTAATTCATTTATCTGAAAGGAAAGTGACTACGAAAAACGTATCAATAAATCAATCGATAAAACACTCAAAATCGCTGATACACCATAAATTAAAAAACCAAAACTCGTCCACAGTTGCTATGGAATGCGTCGGATTTTTTACAGAAACGAGTTTTCAAGTGTTGTTGTCATCGTCGCCTGAAAAATCTACCGAATTATGTAAAACTTCGCCGCTCCACCAGCCGAAAAAAATAATCACAAATCTGGCAACACCTCAAATTGCAGTCATATTCATGCACCGCTGTTTATATTTTTAGAAATTTTCGAATTCGACGCTCGTTTGTTGTGGTGCGACTTTTTGAACTTTGCTATCACTTTCGATTAAATGCGCCGAAATTTCGATCAAAAATCGACGATTTGCGTCGTATTTGATACCGGGTCCGGTTTATCTCCCCTTCAAGATCTTTATTTTACGTGTGACCCATAAAACAACAGGAAACGTTTCTGCGTGTCGTAATAAACCATCAGCGGCTTTATCGGCTTGAAAAATCTTGAAAAGCGACTGAGTCTTTTTAAGCTTAAAGCGTAACAAAAGTGTGTTTGGTGGGTTTTAACGAGAAAGTCGGTCGTGGATTACGGACGATCTCTTACATGGATTTGATTTTTTGAATTCTTTGCTAAGTGAATGTGGCGATTTTAGAGATCCAGTATACAGTTACAGCAGTTTTTTTTTTTTTTAATGACATCTCCTGGGAATTTATTGCATGCGAGCTAGCATGTTTAATTTTTTGGGTTTGTCGTCCCATTGTATTAATATTGTGAAGTGGACTATATTTAGGTTTAAGATAATTATCTATTGCATACAAATTTTGTGCGAGGGTACGAATTACAATACCAAAAGTTGCCAGATTTTTCCTCACATGTTAGTCTCCAATTTATTACGCTTATCACAGAGTTGATCCCTATATTTTTGTAATTTAGATAACAGTAGTTTCTAAAGTGGAAATTAGAAAAACAAATTAAAAATATTTATTGCCTAAATCACGATTATGACGCCAACAAAAGTTCATTTACGACCCATTAAAGTTACCCGAAACCGCAGCCACTATTGCAGACTTTAATGTGTAGCTAAAACTAGCCAATTAATCGTCGTAAATTTTATTCAAATTTGAATAGCGCGCCAAAAATAACCTGTGTTTGTAAGTACCTGTTTTGGCGCTGTTCTTCTCACTCTCTCTCGATCCAGCCGAGCCGTCGCCGCCCCCTCCCGAGTTGGTTTTGTCGCCTGACGTGCTGCCCCCCGGCGACACCCCCTCTCGGTTCTGCGTCCCCGGCAGCGCGGGGAAGTCTTCGGACGACATAGTAAACTCACTCGATTCGGACGTGGGTTGTTTGACCATTCCTACGTAGGGTTTAGCACCGGGCATGGGGCTAGGTTGGGGCACGTTATCTCCCGAACTTCGATTCGTTAACGAAGGAAATTCACTAAGATCCAATAATGACGGGGTGTTAGTATCTCCTGAGCCAAACACAGAATTAAAGGAACTATAACCTCCCAATGAGTTCATGTTACCCATTTGGCTACTATTTCTACAACAGAAGAGATTATTGCGTGAGGGTAACTGGAATGTCGCCATTTGAGTGTTGACACTTAGGTTATAAAACTGACATAAACAAACTCTAGCAATGCTCGTAGTCGAGCTAGAGTTGGTTTACGAGCCGGGCGCCTCGGCGCTATTTACCCCATGGCAGGGATCCCTCTCCTGTCGGAAGGCGCTCTCTGCCCGAAAACGGGGGTGACATGACCAGACATAGAGTTACTTCCGAAGCTAACGCTGGACCGTCCGAGGCTGCTACCTCCTATGTTCCTCGTAAAGTTCAAGTTCGCCATAGCTATCTGGTGTCAAGCCAGCCACCTTTTGGCATAACGGAATTACGGTTGGACGCTGAAAAAATCGCTCGTTTCCTCGCCACAGTCCTTACATTAACTTATCAGCACAAAAAATACAAATAACATCATAAACACTCGAGATTTAAATGCAAGCTTGCTGGTTGAACTAGACGGTTGAGACCACTGGGTGATGGATGCACGATTCTTGGTTCCACTAAAAGGTGAAGAAAAACCTCTCGCTATACAAAATAAAGGCGCAATTTTGACAAAGTGTATGTTATTGTCCAAGTATTCTCCGCCATTACAACTGTAACTGTCAAGATGGTTCTGATTTCAGAACTGTCACCTGTCAGTTGGCCCACTTCGAACAATGCCACCAGGGGGACCAACGCACGCTTTATAGGCAACACTCAAACAACGCTGTATTGCGGGTTGCCCACATCATTTATCAAACCATTCATCGATTCCCATTAATAAAATTATAAATAACAAAACAGTTTTTTTTCTTCAATATATAATTTTCATTGTTGTGTAACAGTAATACAGTTTCTTCAAACACCTTAGAAAACTTAGTGACTATCCTACGTGGTAACAAAACTTACCAAAAAAAAAAACACAAAATGACTCACATAAATAACCCTAACTAACTATAACAAAACACGCCGACTGGTCCACCAGCCCGCAGATATCACACAGAAACTCGAATTTACAATATAATCTCCAAACACCCGAAGTTAAAGCTCAAACAAACCTTATCCTAACTTACAAAAGTATCAAAAGCATATTCCTGTAAAATAAACGCTAACACTATCACTGCAACGTGTGCAAATTATCGAATACTGAATCAACAGTCCCTTTTATAGATTCTTTCCATGATTTTGAAGAAGAGCTTGTGGGGGAGTCCCTTGGAGCTCTGTTGGATGTGGGTGCGGATGATGTTGAAGCTCTCTTCTTCATAGATGGCGTAAGTGTTGGGCAAGCTCAGCTCTTGGTACAGGTTGCGGATGACTCGCGCGGCCTCGGGGCCGGGGCGCCCGTAGAACTCCTCCATGATTTTTCTTTGGGCGGGATTGGCCCTTTGGAGGGCCACGACGGCCAGCCAGGAGCACTTGCCCTCGCGGATGTCGTTGCCGCCTTTGCCGGTCACCTCTGGATCGCCGAAGCAGTCCAGGAAGTCGTCCTGTATCTGGAAGAATTGACCGATTTCGAGTAAAATGGTCTTGGCTTGTCTGTGCATCTCTGGGTCGTACAAATTCGCCATGTACATGGCTAGGGCCACCGGCAGTTGGAAAGTGTAATAAGCAGTCTTATATTTAACAATCGAATTGTACTTTTTCATGGTGAAGAGATCCAGATTGGGTTTCCCGTCTTTTTGACACATGCAATCCAGAGCTTGTCCCATCGCGGTTTTTAAAGTGACGTCATGGAACAGTTCAAGGGTTGGGACCAGGCAAGGGTGATTCGAAAAATGTCTCTTCAATAAAGTATAAATGCCTTGTTCTAGAATTATGGCGTCATTCACGGCACTCAGTCCTATTTCCTCTTTCTTGTACCAGCAAGGAAGCCCCCTTCTGGTCTCCGACCGATCCATGAAGTCGTCCGTGACGACGAAGAAAGCTTGCAACTGGAAAAGAAAACTTTCTTTACAATCATTGCACATTTATTTAATTCAAAAGAATTAGTCAAATTTGGTGCGTGACCTTTCCCCGAAGCCCCACTCCAATCCCATTACTCTAATCCAATTTCCGAAGCCCCGCCGCGCCCCATAAATACCCCGATCGCCGCCCTCGGTCGCTTCTGGTAGAAAACCACTACGCTCTCAATGGTTGTAGCCGTTAAAGTCTTCAAAAAAACCACACCGAATGGTAAAGTCACCGTCTACCTCAGCAAGCGCGACTTCGTCGACCACCTCGACCGCACCGACCCCATAGATGGCGTCGTCGTCGTGGAGGATGACTACCTGCAAGGCCGCAAGGTCTACGGCCAGGTGGTCACCACCTACCGCTACGGCCGCGAAGAGGACGAGGTCATGGGGGTGAAATTCAGCAAGGAGATGACCATCGCCTACGACCAAATCGTCCCGCCTAAGAAAAACCCCGACTTGACCACCGTCCAGGACAAACTGACTAAGAAGATGGGCCCCGTGGCCTACCCGTTCGTCTTCCACTTCCCGGAGATGGCGCCCAGTTCGGTGACGCTGCAGCCGGGGGAGGACGACCAGGGGAAACCTTTAGGGGTTGAATATTACTTGAAGGTGTACGTGGGGGCGAACGAGGAAGACAAGGGGCATAAGAGGAGCACGGTCACTTTGGCTATCAAGAAGTTGCAGATTTTGGCGAGACCTAGAGCAGTGACGCGGTTACCGAGCTCGGTGGTGGCGAAAGGGTTCACGTTTTCGACGGGGAAAATCAACCTGGAGGTGACGCTGGACAAGGAGATTTACTATCACGGGGAGCAGATTGGGGCGAATGTGACCATCTCGAACAACTCGAGGAAGACGGTGAGGAACATGAAGGTGTACGTGGTGCAGCACTGCGAGGTGACGATGGTCAACGCGCAGTTTTCCAAGTATGTGGCCAGTTTGGAGACCAGAGAAGGGTGCCCGATTACTCCAGGTAGAGTCCCAGAGTCCATTCCCTCATTATTAATCTATTAGTTACAAAAAAATATTTCCAGGGACTAGCTTCACCAAGACCGTCTACCTCATCCCCCTCGCCTCCAGCAACAAGGACCGTCGTGGGGTTGCTCTCGACGGGCGCCTGCGCGACGACGATGCCAACCTAGCCAGTTCTACCCTGGTGCCAGACGGCAAATGTCCCATCGACGCCATCGGTATCGTCATTTCCTACTCCTTGAGGGTCAAACTCAACTGCGGGACTCTGGGTGGGGAGATCGTCACCGACGTGCCCTTCAAACTCCTCCACCCAGGACCTGGTGCTTACGACAAAGAGAAACCCAAAACCTTTAAGAAGATGAGATCCATGGAGAAGGGGCGCTACGGCAATTCTTACGAGAACGACGACGACGACAACATCGTTTTCGAGGATTTTGCTCGCTTCAGGTTGAGCCAAGACGGGGTCGAATAAATCGAGAAAATCCAAAAAAATAGTAAAAGTCGAAATATGAAAAAAGGTTACTTCCGCGACCATTGGTGATTCTGCCAGAAGTGATAATTTCAGTTATTTTTTATTATTTACAGGAGATAGCAACATTTTTGTTTTATTTTAATTTACGCAGATTAGTTACAAAGGTGTATAATTATGCATAATTATGAGGTTTATATAACTGTTTTTCCGTTAGATTTAGCAGCGTAGTTTTAGTCTTAGTTGTTGTAAATGCATGCAAAAAAACAAATAAATAAATATACTTCACATTGGGCTACTCGTAAATTTTCAGACTCCAAATTTGCGACTTAATGCAAATCCCCGAATTCTTTACCTTTGTTTACAATGTCGACTTTCTTAAAAATAAATCGCGCGGTGAGTAATAAAAATAAATAAATTTTAAAAAGTGAAACAAATTCTCACCCACATGTTTAAGTCTTGTTTGTTTACAAACTCGCGCCTGATCTCGCCGATGATGTAACAAAATAAAATCTAGTGGCTGCCACGTGATCAGCGCACAAGGTTGTCCTTCAACTTGAAATTACAACAGGCTTTTATAATTTCTACAATTACTTTAACGTCGACGAGTTTCGCTGCTCTATTTAAATAACAATAAAAAAATTGCGCTTTCTTGCTAAACAGGTCGCTTCACACGAACGCCTTACGTAACCGCAACACCTAGTTTCAGTTGCGTTATCTTAAGTCACTTCTTTTGTTCACTATTTACAGAACTGTATTCGTTATTTGTGTACTAAAAATAAGTTTGCTCTTTACACTGAATAATGCATGGATAAACAACGCGTGATTATGTTAATTTTTGAATAGTTTTAGTTGGATGTAGTTGAGACTTGTTGCCAGATGGACCGCGGATCCTATTTTTTCTGCAAATATTTAAAATGGATTAAATTAAGCACGCTGTTTATTCAGTCGTAACAGCGTCAGGTGATTCAGGCTGAGGGAAATGCAAAACATTCGTAAACGTGTCTCACCTTTGACATACGCTACCATGAGAAGACCTCGTGGTATTTTTGAACCGTAAAAAGAGGGCGACGATTTTCATTCTGAGACGATTGGACTGACACGAAATTGGATCAATAGCCAATTATTTTTCGACATAAAAAATTTAAGGTCACAGTGTGCAGGAATTTTTAATATTCAGTAATTTTTTGTTAAAAATCAGTTGTTTGTGATATGTGTTCTCGTGGATTTAAATTTGTTTACTCACCACTTCCACGCACCACCCCATGATGTTGGCCAGCCTGATGTTCTCGGGGGTGAGATTCTCCTCTTTTTCGAGCATTTTGTAGGCGGCGACCACCGCCAGCCCCCGATTTTTCTTCCCGTTGGGGACGTTGTAGTGCAACAATTTGGCATAGCGCTTCGTCACTTCTGGAATGTCCGTCTGGCGTCCCGCGTCGGTCAAATCCCTGACAATATCCGGGAACACCGCCATAAATTCGCGACTCTCATCCTTGGTGACCAGAGTGTAATTGGTCGACTGGGGTTTGGCCTTTGTCTGAATGGTGGATAAAGCTCTGAAATACAAAAAAAAAAAAATGAATCATTGTGCTTGCACTTTCCTGTTGGCCAGACTGTGCGAGGATCACACGTTGACGCGCTAATTTACCATCACTAATTCGTCTGATTGATGTCAAATTAAATTGGAACTAACGGTATTTCCGATAACGAGGTGGTGGACAATGTGATAATAATGACAAATTTTTGAACTTCCGTCAAGTTTTTGCGAAAAATTATAAAGAAGTGGCGGCTTTGTTGGTACAAGGACGCTTATAGTTTACAGTTAATTCAATGTCAAACGAGATTTTTGCGCATTATTTCTACCTGGCAATTGTGGGAGCACTATGCGTGGAGAATGATAGGTTTAGGGCGTCTACGCCACTGGTGTTGCAAATTATACCACATTTATGTGTTGATTGTCCAGTTGGAACATTCACTTTCTTATGGATTTCTCCATTTACCATATACCTATTGGTTTCTAGTCCGTTATCGCAAAATTATCACTCCATCAGACACAATTCTGTTTACTGGTTTATCATTTGGTGTAATAAAGAAATTTACTTTACTGAAATAGATACCACGATGTTTATTTTAATTGTCTGCTTCGAGTTAAAAATGGCTTTGTGATCAGCTGTTGACAAGATAATTTCATTAGTATCAGTGTGAAAATATTCACTGACCTTGGACTTTGTGCTTTAAATAAGCTACAATAAATACAGCTGAAATCGTTGACCAAATACTTAATGAAAATGTCGCTCGTGATTCAAACAATGCAATAAAGTGGATTAAGTCGGTCCTATACAATATGTTACTTATGAAAGATTAAGATATTTTATTTTATTGGACACGAAATTAATATAAATGTGAAAAAACAGTGTACCGCAATCCTAAAAATTTTGGCTTAAAACAAAAATTGTTAAAAATAATGACGGGTTTAAAAAGTGAGTTTTATTAGCGATCCCAAAATTAGTGAAATTTAAGCAGGTTTATTTGTTTTAATTAAAATTTTATTTTCTGTAATATGAAAATGGGTAACTTCTTTAAATAATAAATCAGTTTTTACTATCACTAATTGATAACACTAGTTTTTCGCAATTTAAGTGTTTTTTTTAAGTTTAGTCCTTGAAACCTTTAGAATGCGAGCGCAGCGAGCACGTTCAGGTTTTATTTAAAAAATTGGTCTAAAGTTGTAACCATTTTCACTAAAAAACCCTTTCATTAATAATAACTTTCAATAAAACCTAAATGTGCTCGCTGCACTCGCATTCTGAATCTTCTTTTCTTAATCAATTTAATGACATAAAAACATTTATGAGAGAACGGTCAGCAAAACCAACTTAGTTTTTATTATAATAATTCCCGAGATCTCCCTATGAAGGTAAATAAATCATTCCGAAAAAAAAAGGTCTAAAATTTTTCGACAGAACTTCCCTCACTTCTGAAGTACAGTCCAACAAATACTGCTTCTCTGAAAAATTATAAAATTTGATTTTGTGGAATTTTACTTTTTTGGTTTCACCTTTTTAAAAAAGACAGTTGGGGCCCCCGAAAAGATTTCGCCTTTAAAAAAAAGATATTTGGGCCCCCCGAGAAGGTTTCACATTGTTAAAAAAATACGTTTGGAGCCCCCGAGAAAGTTTTACATTTTTAAAAAGACAGTTGGGATGCCTGAGAAGATTTTACATTGTTAAAAAAATAAGTTTGGGGCCCCCGAGAAGGTTTCACATTGTTAAAAAAATACGTTTGGGGCCCCCGAGAAGGTTTCACATTGTTAAAAAAATACGTTTGGAGCCCCCGAGAAGGTTTTACATTTTTAAAAAGACAGTTGGGACGCCTGAGAAGGTTTCACATTGTTAAAAAAATAAGTTTGGGGCCCCCGAGAAGGTTTCACATTGTTAAAAAAATACGTTTGGAGCCCCCGAGAAGGTTTTACATTTTTAAAAAGACAGTTGGGACGCCTGAGAAGGTTTCACATTGTTAAAAAAATAAGTTTGGGGCCCCCGAGAAGGTTTCACATTGTTAAAAAAATACGTTTGGAGCCCCCGAGAAGGTTTTACATTTTTAAAAAGACAGTTGGGACGCCTGAGAAGGTTTCACATTGTTAAAAAAATAAGTTTGGGGCCCCCGAGAAGGTTTCACATTGTTAAAAAAATACGTTTGGAGCCCCCGAGAAGGTTTTACATTTTTAAAAAGACAGTTGGAATGCCTGAGAAGGTTTCACATTGTTAAAAAAATACGTTTGGGGCCCCCGGGAAGGTTTCACATTGTTAAAAAAATACGTTTGGAGCCCCCGAGAAGGTTTTACATTTTTAAAAAGACAGTTGGGATGCTTGAGAAGGTTTCACATTGTTAAAAAAATACGTTTGGGGCCCCCGAGAAGGTTTCACATTGTTAAAAAAATACGTTTGGGGCCCCCGAGAAGGTTTCACATTGTTAAAAAAATACGTTTGGAGCCCCCGAGAAGGTTTTACATTTTTAAAAAGACAGTTAGGATGCCTGAGAAGGTTTCACATTGTTAAAAAAATACGTTTGGGGCCCCCGAGAAGGTTTCACATTGTTAAAAAAATACGTTTGGAGCCCCCGAGAAGGTTTTACATTTTTAAAAAGACAGTTGGGATGCCTGAGAAGGTTTCACATTGTTAAAAAAATACGTTTAGGGCCCCCGAGAAGGTTTCACATGGTTAAAAAAATACGTTTGGAGCCCCCGAGAAGGTTTTACATTTTTAAAAAGACAGTTGGGATGCCTGAGAAGGTTTCACATTGTTCAAAAAATACGTTTGGGGCCCCCGAGAAGGTTTCACATTGTTAAAAAAATACGTTTGGAGCCCCCGAGAAGGTTTAACATTAAAAAAAAACATTTGACGCCCTCGAGAAGGTTTCACATTGTTAAAAAAATACGTTTGGGGCCCCCGAGAAGGTTTCACATTGTTAAAAAAATACGTTTGGAACCCCCGAGAAAGTTTTACAATTTTAAAAAAGAACAATTGGGACTCCCAAGAAGGTTTAACATTTAAAAAAAAAACATTTGACGCCCTCGAGAAGGTTTTACACTTTTAAAAAAGACAATCGGGACCCCCGAGAAGGTTTCACATTAAAAAAAAGACAATTGGGACTCCCGAGAAGGTTTAACATTTAAAAAAAAAACATTTGACGCCCTCGAGAAGGTTTTACACTTTTAAAAAAGACAATCGGGACCCCCGAGAAGGTTTCACATTAAAAAAAAGACAATTGGGACTCCCGAGAAGGTTTTACATTTTTAAAAAGACAGTTGGGATGCCTGAGAAGGTTTCACATTGTTAAAAAAATACGTTTGGGGCCCCCGAGAAGGTTTCACATTGTTAAAAAAATACGTTTGGAGCCCCCGAGAAGGTTTAACATTAAAAAAAAACATTTGACGCCCTCGAGAAGGTTTCACATTGTTAAAAAAATACGTTTGGGGCCCCCGAGAAGGTTTCACATTGTTAAAAAAATACGTTTGGAACCCCCGAGAAAGTTTTACAATTTTAAAAAAGAACAATTGGGACTCCCAAGAAGGTTTAACATTTAAAAAAAAAACATTTGACGCCCTCGAGAAGGTTTTACACTTTTAAAAAAAACAATCGGGACCCCCGAAAAGGTTTCACATTAAAAAAAAGACAATTGGGACTCCCGAGAAGGTTTAACATTTAAAAAAAAAACATTTGACGCCCTCGAGAAGGTTTTACACTTTTAAAAAAGACAATCGGGACCCCCGAGAAGGTTTCACATTAAAAAAAAGACAATTGGGACTCCCGAGAAGGTTTTACATTTTTAAAAAGGCAGTTGGGATGCCTGAGAAGGTTTCACATTGTTAAAAAAATACGTTTGGGGCCCCCGAGAAGGTTTCACATTGTTAAAAAAATACGTTTGGAGCCCCCGAGAAGGTTTAACATTAAAAAAAAACATTTGACGCCCTCGAGAAGGTTTCACATTGTTAAAAAAATACGTTTGGAACCCCCGAGAAAGTTTTACAATTTTAAAAAAGAACAATTGGGACTCCCAAGAAGGTTTAACATTTAAAAAAAAAACATTTGACGCCCTCGAGAAGGTTTTACACTTTTAAAAAAGACAATCGGGACCCCCGAGAAGGTTTCACATTAAAAAAAAGACAATTGGGACTCCCGAGAAGGTTTTACATTTTTAAAAAAGAACAATTGGGACTCCCGAGAAGGTTTCACATTTTTAAAAAAAGACACTTGGCGCCTCGAGGTTTTACATTTTTAAAAAAGAACAGTTGGAATCTCGGAGAAGGTTTCACATTAAAAAAAGACTTTTGGGACCCTCGAGAAGGTTTTAGATTTTTAAAAAGGACAGTTGGGATCCCGGAGGTTTCACATTAAAAAAGGACATTTGGGACCCCCGAGGTTTTACATTTTTAAAAAAGACAGTTGGGACTCCCGAGGTTTCACATTAAAAAAGGACATTTGGGACCCCCGAGGTTTTACATTTTTAAAAAAGACAGTTGGGACTCCCGAGGTTTCCCATTCTTAAGAAAAAAACATTTGACGCCCTCGAGAAGATTTTACATTTTTAAAAAAGACAGTTGGGACCCCCGAGAAGATTTTACATTTTAAAAAAGGACAGTTAGGACCCCCGAGAAGGTTTTACATATTTAAAAGACGGTTGGGACCCCTGGAGAAAGTTTCGCATAAAAAAAAACATTTGGCGCCCCCGAGAAGGTTTTACATTACAAAAAACATACAAAGAAGACAGTTCGAACCCCCGAGAATGTTTCACATTCTTAAAAAAATACGTTTGGGGCCCCCGAGACGGTTCCTCATTCTAAAAGAAGAAGGTCATATTCTCACCTTTTAGAAAATGTGGGGTAATTTCAGCAATAAAAAATTTGTTATGACGTCATAAACACAGATAATACACAATGCGAAAAAAGAAAAGAAAAAAACGAAAGACCGAGTGTAGAATCGAACTCGCGACGTCCGATTCGCATTTCTGACCCGTAACCACTAGACATCGCCGAGATGCCTTACGCTAATGGTAAACTGTTGTAGCGTGCACTGTTTTTGCAAAAATTTTGACGGTTAAAAAAAAACTCAAAGCGGATTCGTACACCACACATATTGGACTGTATAACTTACATACTTATATAACAGTTAAATCAAATAAACATGGTAAAATATATCCAGCATTTTTGAGTTGAGTTTTTACTTTAAAGAATTTTGTGATGACGTCATCAACATTTTTGCGCGAACAAGTACATATATCAACTTGAATTTGTTCAGTGTAATACTAAAAATAACAGTATTGCATTCCCAAAATTTTCTGGGAAAATGAAGTGAGTCGTTCCTGATTTAATCAATAAAATAAACTGTCACATTCATTAATTTTTTTGAGCCACTTGTGACTTGTATAAGCAAATCTAAAAAATACGAATGCAATAATAAATCACAAGTAAAAACTCATCATATTTTGCACATTTCGGGTAGATTTAAGAATTTAATTCGTTACTATGGAGATTTGCAATTTAACACCTTGAAATTTCACAAGTTTTTACAAGATTAATAGGGGCAAATCAGTTTTATCTTAACAAATACTAGGCCCGCCCACCCGCCCTCTATTTTCTCAGAGGATATGTCATCTGCCAAAATAAGACTTACGTTAGCAAGTAGTAGACATCCAGATTTTTGAAAAAAAATCAAAATTGATTTTAGCCATAGTAAAAAGTTAGCCAAAACGCCCTAAATGATGACGTCGCCTTACAATTTTACTGAATAAAGGTTACCCAAATTTTGTAAAATAACATACTCCTGCATGTGTAATTTATGAATCCGTGTTGCGCTAGATAGACATGCAAATTTTTGAAAAAAAAATCACAATTGTACCAATGGGTAAGAGCAGTTCGCGATGACATCATCAATTTTTTCAACTTCTTTTATTTATTTTTTTACGCTTCTTATTAGTTATTTGACAACTTGACGCACCAACATTTGCAATTAAAATTAATTTCCATAATCATATGTATTTACGTACGGTGGCATTACCTGCTGATTTACTTTAGATAACATTATTAAATGTTAGCTTTCCTGATACACCAAGTTTCAAAAAAGTTCCTTGTGTTTTCCATAAAAGAACTTATTTATTTATAGATCTCAATGTCTAGGAAATCTGTCATAATTATGTGTGTTAAAATCAATTTAATGATTGTGGCAGACTTCCTTGTCAAAACTGGGTTACATATAAATAATTTGACGAAAAAAACATGTTTGCCGGTATTTTTTCAAAACCGGCTTTAACCTCACTTTTGATATTAATATTACACAACATACAAGTCGCCAAATTTGGAGTCCCTGGACTAACAAAAAACAAACTATTAAAAAACCATGATTTTGTGCTAGCGATTTATTATTGAGCCGTAAATCCCCCTACATCCTTGACTGTTTACTGATACAATTTTTATGTAATAAATTAATAAATAAAAACAGATTTTCAGGGCCACTATTAGAAAGAGTAAACAAAACACAACAATAAACCTGTAAACCTCACAAATCATGTATCTGTTGCATCAGCAAGTTGACTAACCGTGATTTTTCTCTATCTTTCGTTGAACTTTACTCGGCTGCATTTAACCACACGGTTTAATAATACACCTTCAGGCCATCAAGCCATGAAAAAATCGACGAATGCAGTTCCTCGATCCATTTGCTGAAACCTGTTCTCCAAGCCTCAATCTACCACTTTTTTCATTTAAAATGAAAAAATCGAGACTCAAACTGGTCTAGAAAATCACGGTATTGATAAAACGTAGCGTGACATGCAAAATCGGCACAAAATAAGCTCTAATTGTTTAATGGGTACTTATTTGTAGAATGTAGCTCGTGCATATTTTTTCAATAAATTGTAGCTAGTTTATACATATTTAGCTACGTTTTTGATAGCGATTTTACGCGTGGTAACAGCTGCTTCGTTATCGCGCAATTATTACCACATACAATTCGACTTAACAATATCCATCACCTCCTCGTTCCAATCTTTAATCATTTTTGTTCAAAATTCGTATCGAGTTCGTTACATAACCCGTCCACTGTTTTCGCCGGTCGGCGTCCTCCATTCCAAGGTCGCGTTAATAGGTCGCAGCGAGCCATGTAAACAAACGCCGCGAAAAGGGGTCGACCGAAGGGCTCGCCGCAACGCGCTCTCGGTCACGTAGCCACGTTGAAGTCTCCACCTCGATCGAAGAGCGAGTCAACGACCGCCGCCTCCTCGCCAAGAACGTTTTTTACCTGTTATTGTTGTGCTTGTTCAAACGCATCCACTTATTCGGCGGATTCTGGCTCAGATTCAGCTCGGTTTTCTGCTGTCTGGAGATGGCGTCGCTGTTGGGGGCGGTGGAGGTCTTGCTGATCTCGCGCCGCCACTCCCTGAGGAATTCTCGGCTGGTGCGGTTCACCGTGTGCCTGAACGTCGACAGCATTGCACTGATAATGATAACGAACTGAAGCGAAACGTTGCGCGCTCGTTGCGAGACTGTTTGACAAGAAGACGACGCCGCGATTATAAACGGGGCAGACAGAGATGAGGAGAAAACAAGCTGATAGAGGAGTCGGTCTCGCTCTAGCGTGTGTACGTGACCACGTGGGTCGCGGATGACGGGAGGTGTCTTGGGGCCGAATGTACGTGCACGGAGTCAGGAGATGGTCGGCGGCGGGTTGGGAGGCTGGTCAAGGGCTAATTGGGTGCTGGAGGAGGATTAGCGTGCGGTGGTTACGCAATCGGCTAGGAATAGATGTTTTGTTGGTGGATTTCGCGGTTTCGAAAAAGATTTCGTTATCGGAGGAGAGATTTCGTTTTCTACGTTGTTTTGTTGTTGGGAGCAAAAAATGGGTGACGCGGTTTTGGGTTGACAAATATCCGACCATGTAAAAATTAAAGAATTTTTTTCCATTGATTATTATTATTATTAGACAGCTGCGACCAGTGGCGTAACAATAAATCTACGGGCCTGTGTTCTACAACACTGTGGGGCTCCTAATGAACAGCGAAATAAAAATTATTTAAAAATACGAGTATAATGAGTAAAGTATGAGTATATTGCAATTAGGGCTTACGTTTTATTAAAATCATTCTACCTGAAACACTGAATTAAAAAACAAAATATAATAACTACCTAAATACATATAATTAAAATGTATATCAAAAATAAAAATGCCCGTTTTTTTTATCTCAAAATTGTTTTTTTCTTGCTTTCCAATGGGCACAAGTTGATACAAGATTTGACACATCTAAGCTTCTGGCAATTTGATTTTCAAGTGAGATAATAAGCCAGTGAAGATAATCTGCATTGGCCCATTGTGTTACTTAAAAAAAATTTAGTCATTTTTAATTTCGAAAAAGATCTTTCCGCTGAAGCCAGCGAACGATGTACCTATTGTAAGAAAAGTGAAACATGTTGTGATAATTTCACTGAAACTAGTGCAGGTACTAGGTACTCATTCTGTAATAATTTGGTGGTCCAGTGTTTTTTCTACTTAAAAAATTAGTTGTAACATACATCAGATATAATTTATTATTCCCAAAAAGCACCACAGACACAATATTAAAATAGTTTTGAAAATACGAAAGTTTTCATAAAACACAATTGAAACTGATTTTTTTTTTACGTCTTACGTCATAAAGTTTCACTGAAGATCTGAAGACAAAATTTAAGTATTCTGTTATCCTGAATCATAAATTAGTCATACTATTGTAGGTTAAAGATTGGTAATTTAGTTAATGGGGTGTTAGATTTGCCACAATGGGATTGCGACAGTGCGACAGGTTTATTAGAAACAGATGCTGCTGCGTTTCTGGCCGCCGGTGCCGATCGCTAAAACCCGAGTTTACTGAGTCTATGTGCTCATTCACAATGGGCATAAAGCATAAGGATGTCATAAGCATTAATGCATAAGAATTTTTTGTTTAGTGCTCTATGCTTCTATTCGTTCACAGTGAGCATAATGCTTAGGACATCCTTAGGCTTTATGCCCATTGTGAATGAGCACTATGATACTGAGATCAGAGAACATAGAGAAGCGTCATAGTTTAAATTAAATGACGGTTGAGGACTCATCGACTTATGTTGGCAACAGTGTTCGTTTCTAACTAGGAATAAAATTAACTAGAAAAAATGTAATAATATTTTTAACGACGCGTTTTAGTTTCGACAAATTAACACTAGATTTATCAGAATATTACAAGCTGATTACTGTTTCCTTCACTGTAATTCAGGTCACACGAATTACAGTTCGTCGTCTGAGAACTTGTTTGATCTACAGACCAGAGCGCACTCAAGCCAATGTCGACTCTAAGCGTTCGGAAACGATTTGATTTATAAGCCATGGTCCGTGATCTGATATACATCCTAGCCGGCTTCGACCATAATTTCTTGCTGTTTCAACTTTCGAAATTTTAGTTTGGGGACTTTTCAATTTACTCCTATTTATTATTTAATTTTTAATTTCTCAATTTTTCAAGTTCTCGGTTTTCAGTTTTTCTCTTCAATTTTACGATTTTTAAATATTTCGATTTTTCAATTTTTGACTTTTATAAACTCTCTATTTGTCGATTTTTCAATTAATTGATTTTTCAGGTTTCTTGGTTTTTCAATTATTCTATTTTTTCAGGTTTTGATTTTTCAACTTCACTTTTTTGATTTTTCGATTTCTCAATTTTTCAATTTTTTAATTTCTCAGTTTTTCGACATTTCAGTTTTAGGATTTTTCAGTTCACTTATTATTCAATTTTTCGATCTTACGATTACGCAGATTTTTGATTTTTCAATTTTTCGATTCTTTAGATTCTCAGTTTTTGGATATTTCAGTTTTGGAATTTTTCAGTTTTTTGATTCGTCAGTTTTTCTTTCATTTTTCAGTTTTGGGATTTTTCAATATTTCTGTTCTTCGACTTTCTATTTTTGACTTTTAAATTTTTTAGATTTCTCAATTTTTTGGAATTTTAATTTTTCAATATTTAAAATTTTTGATTTTTCTATTTCTCGATTTTTCATTTTAGCTCTTCCATATTTCAATTTTTCAAATGTTTCGATTTCTTAATCTTTCGATTTTTCGACTTTCCGGATTTAGATTTTCTGTTTTTCAATTGTCGTTTTTTCAAATTTTAGATTTTTCAATTTTTCAAATTTGACATTTATAAACTGTTAATTTTTCGATTTTTCAATTAATCGATGTTTTGATTTTCCCATTTCTTGACTTTCGAGGGTTTCGATATTCCTGTTCAATTCTTTAATTTTTCGATTTTTCAAGTTTTTGATTTTTCATTTTTTAGTTTTTTTAAGGTTTCGATTTTTCGACTTCACTTTATGGATTTTTCGATTGCTCAATTTTTTGACTTTTTAGGTTCTCAGTTTTTGGATATTTCAGTTTTCGGATTTTTCAGGTTTTCCCATTTTTCAGTTTTTCGATTTTTGACTCCTGGATTTTACGATGTGTCGATTTTTTTACTTTTTCGATTTTTCAATTTTTCGATTTTTAAATTTTAGATTTTTAATTTTTAAAATTTTAGATTTTTCGATTTCTCGATTTTTCATTTCAGTTCTTCGATATTTCAATTTTTCAAGTTTTCGAATTTTTCTTAATCTTTTGATTTTTCGAATTCGCGGTTTTAGATTTTCTGTTTTTCATATGTCACTTTTATAAACTCCCAATTTTTAGATTTTTCAATTAATCGATGTTTTCATTTTCCCATTTCTTGACCTTCGAGTGTTTCGATTTTTCTGTTCTCAATTCTTTAATTTTTTTGATGTTTCGATTTTTTAGTTTTTCGATATTTCAGTTTTAGGATTTTTCAATATTTCAATTCTTCGGTTTTTCTATTTTGGACTTCTGGATTTTTCGATGTGTTTTACTTTTTCGATTTTTCAATTTTTGGATTTTCAATTTTAGATTGTTCAATCTTTTGATATTTTAGTTTTTCAATATTTCTTAGTTTTTCGATTTTTCGACTTCCTGGTTTTAGATGTTCTGTTTTTCAATTTTTCGATTTGTTAATTTTTCATTCCCGCTTTATCGAGATTTGATTGTTCAGGTTTTCGATTTATCAGTTTTTCAATTTTTTATTTTGGCCTATTTCGGTTTCTCATTTTTTCCGTTTTCCATTTTTTCGTTTTTTTTCCGCTTTTCCAATTTTTCAACTTTTAACTTTTTGTTTGTCGATTTCTGTATTTTTCAATTTTTCGACTTCATCACTTTTCGATTTCTCGTTCTTTTGATCATTCAATCTCTCAATTTTTCAATTTTTCGAATTTTAAGTTTTTTGATTTCTCGTTTTATCGAGATTTGGATTTTCCGATATTTTGATTGTCAATTTATAAATCGTTCAATTTTTAACTTTTCGATTTTTCGATTTTGGCCTATTGGTTTCGATCTTTCAGTTATCCGACTTTTTAAATTTGGGAGTTTCGATTTCTCAATTTTTCGTTATTCGATTTTTAAATTTTAGATTTTTGAATTTTACATTTTTTCGATTTTCTGATGTTTCATTTTTTGATTTTCAGTTCTTCGATCTTTCGATTTTTCAATGTTTCGGTTTTACGATTTTTTAAGGTTTCGATTTTTCGATTATTAGATTTCTCGATTTTTCAAATTTTCGATTATTTTCATTTTTCATTTTTTTTCTCACTGTCAATATCATACAGTGTATTGAAAACAACTACAAAAATTGTCACTAAAAACATTTAAAAATTCATACAAAATAGAACACAGTGTTTCCAAAACATTTTCCCGAAAAAAATCCATTGGGTTATTACGATTTCAACAATATTCTTAGTTTAAGACGTTTTGCTAGTATAAAACACAAATAAAGAGTTAATTCTTAGTTAAACAAAATATGTAAAATCATCTAAATCTGTACCAAAAATATTCACCTAGTCGTTATAAAAACTGACCAAACAACTATTTCCCGCAGAAATTATAGTCTAAACCAACCAAGTTGCTTCTGAACGCTTAGAGTCGATAATGGCCTGAGCGCGCTTTGGGCTGTAGATCAAACAAGTTCTCAGGCGACAAGTTGTAGTGAAACCAGTTTTTTTATTGGCATCGACTATTTAAATTTGGCGCTTGTCTTTGGCGGTTGAGGACTCCAATGTCAATAAGGGTGGTTTTGCAAAATCAGACTGTATGTCGCATCTACATATATTAATCTATACTGAGATGCCGCAAGAGGTCCAGCCCTTTGCAGCAAAAAATCGTAAATAGCAATGAACGATCGATCTTGGCATCACCGCACATTTTCGAATTTTTTATTTCGGGATGTAATTTGCCAAATAATATAAAAAATCCAATAAAAAAAATTTTCGTGTGATCGGACCGGGCCCCTTGACGAAGCGGGCCCGTGTTCCAGCGAACACATGGAACACCGGTAGTTACGCCACTGGCTGCGACATACAATGATTCCCGGAAAGATTTCTCACTCCGCATTTCAGAAGATTTTGTCTTTCTAATACAACCAAGAAAGTGTGTTACCTGCTAAATTCAATTAAATTTCCTTAT